AATCTAAAGATATGATTTCAACATGGTAAACCTTCAACTTACCTTCAATTTTAGGATTCCTTTTTAAAAACTGTGCTTTTGTGCCGAAAATGGCGACGAACCTCACATATAAAAATCACTTCACTGTAATAACCGAGGAAACTGGTATGAACTGCAGAAAGACGACCTGCGCGCTTACCTTTGGGAGCTTATAATTTTCTTATCACTCATCCAATCATCATGATATTTGGCCGAGATACTCTCCAGAGTATGTAGTATCGACCAGTGGTGCCATTTTTCATTTTTATTAAAAGTCAATTTTTCGAATTAATGCCGCCTAAATCGGGCTCTGGAACCAATGTGCGGCGGCTCTTCACCAGCTGATGGTCGTTGCCGTCCCGGTATTCGGTGGGCCCCTTTCATGACGGGCGTCTTGACGACCCTCATGATGGGGGCACTGTAGCGAATTTTTCCCCTCATTACAAAAAAAAAAAAAAAACAAAAAAAAACGACTCAAGCGACACTATCGTTAAAAATATAAAAAAAATTTCGATTTGGATGTATAAAACATGTTTAACTCGTTGAGGCACACTGTGTATTGTATGGAGTACTGTTGCTATTCGACCATGTGTTCAGGTCAAAATTCTTACAAGGAAGCCCCTTGCAAGAGGCGAAGTTTTTGTAATTACTCCCATTTTTTCTCCGTTATATAATGGAATTGCTTGTCAAATTCTGAGGTCAATTTTATCTAAGTGTAATTTATACACTTATTTTTTTTCCCTTTCATTTTATTTTTTGTTTGGAGAATTCGAGGTTTTGTTGACTTTTTCAGATTTTGAATACTGTAACTTCTCTTGTATTCAGCCGATTTTTATGAACGAGACCTCTTTTAATTCGTGTTTTAACGGAGAGTTAGGAAAAAATTGCTAAGTACACGCGAAACAATTTTTTTTTTAAAAATGGACGAATCCTAGCGTGACGGTGAAATGGTTAATGAAGCGTGAGTAATCGGGTCCCGGTGGCCGCTCCCCGGGATCCGAAGCTATTGTCTCTTTCGAGAAGCCGACGCTGGGGTCAGGCGCGCGGAGGAGAGAGGGGTAGGTAGATTTCCATATGTGCGCAAGTAGCTTCCTGTATGAGCCACGTTTAGCAAATGTTCTAATGAATATCGAGGCTCATCACAGATTGCACTTGCGGCTACTCTGGCTATCAGAGCAGTGATACCAAATTTTGAAAAGCATGACAGGGGTGTGGAGATCTGTCAAAGCAACGTTTTGAACAAAACGAAGGAGTGCAATCCCCATTCGAAGAGTGCCGAACTGGTCAGCCATCCTCGAATCAGTTCGCTTGCTTCTGCCTATATATGCTGTTTTNATCGTCGTCTCTCGTTCGGAGATCCCCCGTTAGGCCCGGTTCCCTCTGCCATTACTTGTGTGTCTCTACCCCATTTAATGTGTTAGTTGTATTATTCTTGTGATTTTAATAAACTCTTTGTATTCGTTACATCGATCTTATTAATTTGATCCGAGCATTATTGCTCTGGCGCAGTTGCCACACTGCTATTAAATTATCCCAAACTTAACTTATATGCTGTTTTAAATCAGCGCTGAGCATTCCTAGGCTTTTTTTAAAAAAACCAAGTAACGTAGACTCTTGGTATTCACTGCACATTAACTAGAAAGCCCCAGAATGAGAAACAACTTTAAATCATAATTATTGACGGATAAATAAACTTTTTACACGCTTTGGAAAATCTCAGAAGTTCGCGGTAGTCACTTTTCGGTAAGGAACTAAGGGACTCGGTTATTGTATCGAGTGGGGGGTCGAAACGATCGCAAAGGCGGTATACTACGTATACGCGCCAAAAATTGAATAAAATAGAAGAAATGAGATTTTAAACGACACCTCTATTTGCCCTTTATGACCAAACAAAACGTTAACTGTCGACTACTTCATCCACTACCACATCCAGCTAATTAGCGACAACCACCTTATGTTATCAATATGAATTACTTTTTTTAATATTTTTGGTAAAATTAATCAGACGTTTGCAATTAGTCTATATTTACAATATTAGTTCTATTAATATTGACTTTCTACTGGTGAAATTTAATTATATTCTACATGATATTCGAAATTTCTATAGTCTCCGTGTTAATAATTATTATAACATGAGGATACCAACCAGCGCGAGTAGAAGCCACGTTATTTAAAGTTATAAGAACAGTTCTAACCTCTTTACCATTCATTATTAGTATGATAAATAACAGAAACAATTTAAATTTCTGAAATATCCAATAGAAGTAAATAAATTACACTACTACTGCTGCATCCAGTAACTTTTTTTACACGTAATTAGCCTATTTAAACCTTTGACCACTTACCTGCGTGATGGATCTTACAGAAATATCAACAATTGGTTGCGCGGAGTGATTAAAACCGATTTCGTGCAACCGACTTCATATCAGATAATATCATGCTGCCGTTGGAGTAGCATATATTATTAGCTAAAAATTGTTCAGGAGGCTGCTCAGGGGTCCTGTAGGTCTGACCCAACAAGTCCCAGCGTGGCACTCCTTATTGGCACTAGCAACGAAGGTTAATGTAAAGTTTTATTTTCAACATTTTCGGCGCGAGGACTTTCAGACGGCATAAATTGTCTTCAAACCTATTTACGGCTACATTTTATTCGTGAAAAATGATCAGCAGCTTGCAAAGAGTAAGATGACATCATTAGAAAAGGTCTCATGAAATTTTAAATTAGGCTAAAGAATGCACAAACATTGGTGCGTTTTTAGAGGAAATTTTAGATTGCCGACTTAGCGGACTTTAGAGGCCTCTACCATCAATATGGGGGATGACAATTTTATAACTATCATCAAATCCATATAATATAGTACTCATAAAACACATTTCCGGTCCTAAACATTCACAATCCCGGAATCGCCCATGTCCGACCTTTTACCCATATCGCCACACCGTGCGGCTATACAGGGCTATAGAAAATCATGTTGCTGGCTGTAGAAAAAGAATGAAATCATAAAGCCGGGCTATACGGAGCGATAAAAAATTATGGAGCTGGGTTATAGTCCCTATGGTCGGGCTATGCAGTTTATCGCACCTAGCTGTAGCTTCATCGCCATCGGCTATGAAAGGCTACAAGAAATTCTACAGCCGGCTATGGAAGCTATAGGAAATCTTGCAGCCGGCTGTAGGTGAATAGAACTTTGGGACAAAGATGCTACTGCCAAATTTTACCAAGGGCTCAAATAAGGTCGAAAATTCGGTTTGAAATTTGAAAGTCGTTTCCTCCGGGGAAGCTGAATGAGTGCAACAAGGACAACAATTTTTGACCTCGAGTTTGATGGTCTCAAACAACAGTCACCTGGGGCTGGCTTGATTGGGGACGGAGGGGGAATGGGGCTTTAGGGATGGTAAAGCGCAGGATTATCCCTCGTGGGATACTTGAAGTTAAAAAAAAAAAAAAAAAAAAAAAAAAAAAAAAAAAAAATTGCATGGAACCCGAAACCGTAAGCAAAAGAATCAAGGCTGACTGTGACGTAGGACCAAATGAGTCCATTAGGGCATCAAGGACACCAGGCCTAAAATCACGATTGATCTCGGAATGTGACGTAACATTAAAACGATCCATGAGACCTCCTTAAAGTTTTAGCAGATATATCTGAACACGTAGAAAAAATCCATGATTAACTGAGCGTTATTATAGTTTTCATCAAAATCAGAACCAACTTAAATTCCAACTTCTCGCATGTTTAAAAGAAAAACTGAAATTAATTTACATCAGAGTGACCGTCAAAAAATAAGTTCCTCATACTTTTACCACTTGACGAGTACAAATAACTTGCGTTACGAACGGTTGGGTTCACTGCCGAGTGTGATCTACTGATGAGGTCTAAAAAGGCCCAAACCGGTGTAGATCTCTCGACGTGACTCCAACTTAATATTCCTATGCAAACTGCCAGAGCTGAACACTCTCTCCCCTCAGTTTCGTACTGGTGCGCATTAGAGCTCAAAAATAATTTTGACTCTAATTTTAATTTTTGGAACTCCTTGGCTTTGATTTCCCCGCGAAATGGTGTGGACCCAGCACCATTTCTCCACCTTGTAACTTGCGTTATAGGTTTTATAAAATTCCCTCTCACTCTGAGGCGCGTTACCTATTTCGAAACTTGACAAGAAAAATTTAGCAAAATGGCACTTCTGCTGAGCAAATTATTCCATCTTATAGAACACTGAATCGGTAAATTAATTGAACCTTAGGTAAGGTACGTAAGTTCTTTGGTTTTTAGGCAAGAAAAGAGTTTGTGTGACAAACACAGGAGATTAGATGAGTTGGGTTTGGAAATCATTTATGCACCACCATGTTCTGCGTAAAATGTTCATGAAGATACATGCAGCGAAGTGTTCGATCTTTACCCAGTCTATAGGTAGTGATATATCTGGGACAATAAATTCTTCCAAAATTGATTTAATCAAATTAGTACCTTAGCTTGCTCTGAGTCTCCTGTTAAGTAATCCATAAATCCTTTCATCATCCAGGATGAAGGTGTTTCTCCAGGATGTACCCTCCCGGTGATTACAACCGCTTTCCTTTTCTGAAACGGGTAAAAACTTGGTTTTTATGATCTAGAGAGGCGTAGTAAAGAAAGAAAATGTAATGAAAAAGAAATGAATGTAATGGCACCAGATTCCGAAAGCTTAAGAATTTTGCCAACTTTGTAGATTAGAAATATTTGTCAGGAGCATCCCACAGTAAAAAAAAAATGGATTGAAGTCACTGTAAATTGAATTACCTTTCTTTTTCAGAGAATTTCATGAAAAAAAATCTGTTTAAGAGAGTTATGAGCAATTTAATGAGAAATTGTTGATTTCACCAATTTCCGAAAGGAGGACCCCTAATTCCGAAAGCTGAGACCCCAATTTCCGAAAGCTCTAATTTGATCACTCTTAACCTAAATTTATGTACACTCTCTCATATTTACTAATAGACTAAAAAAATCAAGGAAGTTTTGAAAAAATTAAGTGGATTAAATTTCCAATGGAAAAAAATTCATGGTAGGCAGTCTCCGTAGTCGCAAATGATACGTGGTTTTGCAGTTTGCCCACCGATATGTAGAATATCAGAATTGATGGAGTGGTGGAACATTGTGTCGAGTCGTACGTTATATGAGTACCTCTACCAACCGTCGCCGTCATGTCGTCATCGCGTTGCTGCGTGCGCTGGGTTATAGCACCTTGATGAACAGTAGAAGTAGTAGGTGTAGCCGTAAGGTGGTCTTAGCGGAATCGAGAAATCAACTGTCGGGGTATCGATTTTCATCTAACACCCCCCCCCCNCCCCTACGCACGAGCTCTCTCGCAGAGGGTGTGGGTATTAGAATATTAGAATTCGATACTGTTCGGTTTAATCATATAGGGAAAAAGTAATTGATACGACTCGTATGACCTCCGCTATGATCTAAAGCTGTTTTTACCCGATAACTCGAAAACGGTGCATCCTACCTCCTGCCAGCGGGACTCTTCACATGCTTCCCCTCCAGGTTATGATGCCATGTCTACAACCCAAATCGTGCCACAAAACAGCATTTATTGACCAAAAAAATGCCGATAGGTGAGGTTGGGTTAGGTTTAGGTATAGTCCAGTCAAATTAGATCAAAAATCACGGATTAGGGGGAAAAATTCCCATACAAGCGATTGTTGGCTAAAGTTGCTTGTTAGGGTCTAGAGAGACACAGGCTAAAAGTCCCCATTGATACCCGATGTGCTTAGCCCCCCAGCCGCCCCCAAAGCCCCCCAAAAAGGCTAAAAAATCGGTTTTTCGGCTATATCTCGAGGACGGTTGGAGATAGCGAGTTGCGTATCATTTGGAAAATGTTCCTCATCAAATTCTGCAAAAAAAAGTTTCTTATGCTTTTTCTTCCCCAGGCACTCCTTGACCCTCAAAATGGCCGCCGCGTATGGGCGTCATAGCGCGCTTCCTCACTGTACGGTACACATAGGTAGGTACGCCTCTATAGACCGCGCGGCCGCGTCGCTGAGTGTCTCGACCTTCTCACCCTGTCACCCTCTATACATAGCTGAAATTTGCATGATATGCAATTATTATGTACTCTTACCTTGTTTGTTATGCAAAATTCTGTTTTCAGTCAGTAAACTTTGATGCTTCAGCAATAGCCTGAGGGCGATTAACAGCCAGAAAGGAAGGACACGTATTTTGATGACACTGTGATCCTAATTATTGCCCGACGTATTTGTGTGAGGTCGATTCACGGATTTCGAATAGATCAAGAATTTTAAAAAATAAATCTACCTCAGAACTTGCCGGACTTAGAATCTTAGAAACAATTTCTAGAAAAAATTTGGCGAAATCAAATTATCACTTAAAATGACAGTCCGAAATTTATACACAGACACGGGTAACACATACTCCATGAAAATGACATTACATGTGATCCATCGCGGTTATTTCAAGGCATCTCCATGTTTATGACGTTGCAAGAAGGCCTTGAGAATTGTTCTAAGTATGAATTATCTGCGTACCCTCAGTCCCAGTTTGATACCAATTGAATAATGAAAACGAAAAAAGCCTCTTTATGCGCCATTTTTGAGCCGAAACTAGAAAAAAAGGCCCCAAGTAACAGCAAATATATTCTAGATGGTGGATTTCTATTACACCGCGCAGTCTGGCCCCAGGGAGCAGAAAAGTTTGGAGATTACAGAAAATTACGTAACCTATGTCCTTCGGAATTTTCGTAGAAATCACCTCATTATTTTAGACGGTTATTCGAGTAACACACCGTCAACAAAAATGTAGAGAGATCCTAAAGGTACGGTAAATCAATGTACATGGAAATTGCTTCTAATGAAGAAACAAAAGTAACTTTAATCCAGGAAAAATTTTTATCTAATGAAATGACGAAAACAAAACAAGACTGATAGAAATTCCAAAAAAAAATTCAGGAACATCGGTCTTCAAAATGAAATTCCAGATAAAGATGCACACCCACAGATTGTTTAAACGGCCTTGATCTTATCTTTGGAGTCAACCAAAAATTGTGTGATTTGTTGGAGAAGGCGTCGATTTTTTAATAATTTTAAGTACGTTGTCTCCAGAAAGTAAGGAAATATTTTTTCTAAAACCTTATGGACAAAACTTTGAAGCAAAAATTTACTGTTTTAAAAGCCTAGACGCCCGTCCGAAACTAAAAGATTATATGCTATTTTTACATGCATTTTCCGGGTGTGATACTAACTCGGCAATTTTTGGAAAGGGCAAGATGGCACTCTGCACTTTCAGGAAAAAATGAAGACATTTAAGATTTTGCGGGTCATTTTAGGATAAAGGCTCAACATTCAATTCCATGTCTGAGTCCGGTAGCAAAATTCTCTTAAGTCTATGTGGTGCAAAGAAACAAAATGATTCATTAGAAGTTGCAATTAGAAACTAGGTCTCTGCGACAGGTGATCAGATCGGAGAGCCTTCATGCGTTCTCCAGGCCAAAATGAACAAGTTAGATTTGCTAGAGATTTTGCTAGTTCAATACATGCTGGCCTAAAGCAAGCCGCAACCTTGTTCAGTAGAATTTCAGTACTTAGATTTTCTGAGCCTGCAGATTTAGTTATTCTGAAGCCCCTAAGGCAGAGCTGTTTCCCCAGTATTGTTTTTAGCTTATTTTTCCTGATAATTGGTCATGCACATGGGCCTAACTTAGCCTTAGGCCTGCGTCCGTCTGACCAGGCAGTTCGTACTTTGTACTCAGTGCCTTCCATGATCACATAAAGCATGTTTTTCCTAATTGTTATTCTGTTCCAAATCATTGTGTCAAACCCCCATGAGATTCCTCTGAGCCTTCTGCTCTATCTGTATTTTGAGTTTACCGAGGTCTCATTCCTGTTTCTTGGTACTAAATAAATCTGATCTTTCAACAGGGTTTTACCTATAGGATCCAATGTGGATTTAGACTGCTATCCTGTGTGATATCCTGCTATCATGTGCTGATTTAGATTGCTGATTTAGATCGTTGATTTTCTTACATCCTGTTTGTCTGAACAAAACCCTTGGACCGGTTTCACCACCAGTATCATCTTTAGTCTCACCACCAGCTGAGTTTATTCATTGTTCTGTCCAACTTTTGTCAGTTTGTAGTCGAAGTTTGTGTCCTTCTGACACCTTTTAGTCCTATTGGACCTCAGCCCATTTGTTTAGACCGAACTCACTCTGAGTAGTCTAATGAGCATCTGAATCAGCCCAAATTTCTGTGATAATTTATTTAATGCTCAAAGTTCTGTGATCCCGTGATATATGTTTCTGTGATAGCTATCAAGGCCACCGAGCCCTTTCTCAATAAAGTTTATCTGTATTAAAGTTTGTCGTTGATCTTATATTGCCTGCAATACCTAAATTTATTTCTGTAGTATATTTTCTTTTGGTCCGTTGCCCCTATCTCAACTCTATTCACGCTTCCCACCATCTTGTTTTTTTGAGAGATATGCATCGGCTCATAATGGTAGCAGAGCGATCAACTTTAATTAAATCTTAATGTCACAGATAATGATAGCAGAGCGACAAACTAATTTTCTGATTTAATTTTTCTGAATTAACCATTCTGATAATGGTATTAGAGAGAATCCTTTTGATTCCTTTTGAGCAGATTTAATGTTTTGAATTTAATGTTCTGATTGCTGAATGGCAATATTGAATTAACTTGTTGTACCTGTTTTAACTTTATTTATGTCTATGTTTGTGTTAACTTTTGTAAATGTTTCAGGCTTTTAGGTTACGAAAGGAGTATTGCTCATTGTAAGTTTTAATTTTAAGCCCTAATTTTAAGTTGCACAGCATCAAGCAGTTAATGGTACTGAACTCCCCTTAGGTTGTTTTATTGTCGTTCTGTGCTTGTTTGTATGCTGTGTATGTGTGTGTTTGCTTTTTCCTTGAAAATTTCTTTGGTATTTTCGTCGCTGCTGTGATTGGGTTTCAAAGATGAGTTATCTTCGCTATCCTGATCTTCTTCTTATTCATCATTTAAAGTATGAGCTTCGTGTTCGCCAGCTGGGTGAAGATGGCGACGCTCACCATTTGCGCACCGAGCTTCGCGCTGCTGTGGACTTGGGCATTAGCCCAAACCCAACAGTTATTAGATCTTTCGATCCTGAGCAGGAACTGATCGAGGTTCAAGGAGATGTTATTCGCCTTTCTGGAGAAATCTCTAATTTTGAATTTAGTCTCCTCTCCAACCATGAGAGAGATATTATTGCTCAGTTAGAGCACAACATCGCTCGACTGAACAATTTGAACTGTTTATCTTTATCTGGCGACATTGCTGACAGATGTCAGGGTCAATTACAATCAACCCAGAATATTTTATTTGACTTCAACTCCAAAATCGAAGAGCTTCGAACAGCAGCCGCTGTTGCAGCTTCGACCCTTGTCTCGTCTGTTGACTCTTCAGTCGCCACTTCTATTGTCTCGTCAGTCCCTCCGGCTTCTTTCATTGCCAGCCCTGGTTCATCACACACTGTGACTTGCACCCCACCAACCCCTATTTCATCAGTGGCAATGCCTGTGACCGGTGCAGCTCCATCTTTCGGTTT